TATATTTTAAAGTCAAGAGGTGTGATGCCTCCACTTTGTTATGCTTGCTTAAGCTTTCTGTAGCTATTCGGGGTCTTTTGCGGTTCCATACAAATTTTAAGACTTTTTTTTCTATTTCTGTGAAGAACGCCATTGGGATTTGGAGAGGGATCGCACTGAATCTATAGATTACTCTGATAACATGGGTATTTTAACAATATTAATTCTTCCAATCCATGAGCAGGGCTGTTTTTCCATTGATCTCTGTTGTCTTTAATTTCCTTCTTCAGCGTTTTACAATGTTCAGTGTGCAAGCCTTTCGCCTCATTGGTTAAGATTGTTTCTAGGTATTTTATTTTATTCTTCTGAGGCTGTTGTAAATGGGATTGTTTTCTTAATTTCCATTTTAGATGGTTCATTGTTTGTGTGTAGAAACATCACTGGTTCTCGTTTGTAGATTTTGTAACCTGAAATTGTAAATTCTAACAACTGTGTGTGTGTGTGTGTGTGTGTGTGTGTGTGTGTGTGATCTTAGGGTTTTCTATCTATATGATCATGTCATCTACAGCTATATTTTACTTCTTCCTTTCCATTCTGGATGACTTTCACTTCTTTTTCTTGTCTAAGTCCCCTGGCTGGGACTTCCAGTACTATGTCGAATGGAAGTTGCCAGCGTGGGCAGCCTTGCCTTGTGCCGGATCTTAGAGGAGAAGCTTTCGGTTTCTCTTCATTTATCATGTTAGCTGTGGCGTGGGCCCTGGCTGGCTCTGGCAGCTGGAGTCCTTGTCAGCCAGGATTGTAAAGGTCCTCAGTGACAAAGGCAGGGCTCCTGCAGGGTGCTCAGTGACAAAGACTGCTGGGATCATCCTGCTGTCCTTTTCCCTGTGGGAGACTCATGGCAGAGGGGACGCCTTTCGGCACCGAGTCCTCTGGCCAGTGGAGAGTCCACACTTCAGGCGACAGGCATGCCCTGTGATGGAAGATTTGACCTGCATACGGGATGTCACCCTTACTATTAAGTAGGAATTTTGACTCTCTAGTGACCGACACCTTCTCAATAAAATAGTTCGCTGCCTCAGCAACACGCGTCTTCACCTGCCGCCCAGGATGTGCAGCTTATGTTTTCTTCCTCCGTGGAGTTAAAAGAGCTTTTCTAGCCTGCCTGACATCCTGCAAAACCCGAGGAGCTTAATACACTTTCTGCTTCAAGTTGTAGCAGGAAATAAGCAAAGTAAACATTACCTTGTTAACTGGAATAACCTGAAACGGCACTGTTAATTTTTTTTTTTTAATATAACCCTTTGAAAACCGTGGCAAGTAGGAAAATATGTGAGTGTGTTTGGCACCTCGAGTCTTAATTTCTCCCTCCGAATCCTGCCTCACAGACTATTTCTGGCAGGCCGAGAGATCCCTCCCTCCACACCCCGGCTGGCTCCTTCCACGCCGAGCCTCGGACGCTGCTGCTGCGGGCTCAGAGGCACGGGGCTCCGGGCACGGGGAGGGGGCGTGTGCATCGCTGTGCATCACCCACCACCCCAGCTGTGCCCGCTGGCCTTCTTAGGGGCCAGTCTGGTCCGGTGGGAGAGCCAGGGCAGCACAGGCGCCGTGCCCCAGGGGACGTGACACCCAAGGACAGCAGATGGTGTGCGGGGTCGTTTCTGCGGCACATCAAGGAGCAGGTCTCATCTGGACTCTGAGCCCCACATTGTCTGGGCTGCCTTCCCTCTGACCGTCCGCCTCCTCCACACGGGCCTCAGTGACACCCTCCGTTTCACACTCTGTGCCTCTAAGACGGCCCAGATCTTCAAACAGCTGACAGTGCAGTCAGAGAGACCAAAGATGCAGCAGGAGGTAGGAAGGAGCTAGTAACCACAGGCGTTTGTATGGAAGTACAGCAAACTGAGGAAAAAAGGAAGAAATGTGTCATTCTGAGTCATTTGTACACGAACCAGTTTTCAAACTTGAAATAAAGGACTAGGCCATTGTTCGGTCGCCAAGTTGCCTCACAGACACTTGTCAAGCGCCTACTAGGGGCCGGCCCTTACAGACACAAGGGGAATCGGGGACCGGCACCGCGTTAAGGTGTGCCACTCTATGGAAGAGATGGTATGTCCACGGTCAGTGTGACAAGTGTTACAGGGGCTCTGACAGGCGAGGTCTTAGCCACTTTGTTCGGACCGGCCCGCTGGTGTCTGCCAAGTGACGGAGGGGAGGAACTTGTGCAGACACTGCAGGCTCCCCCCACCCCACGCCCCGCCTGCCAGGCCGTTCCTTATTCTCGTGTGTCCCTGAATTTGCAGCCTGAAAGGAACTTGGGGTCTTAGTGAATTCCATGCATGTTTTTTCCTGCGTTTCCATCTGAAACCTCCTTGAAATGCCCACGGGAGTGGAGAAGGAAGAGAAGAAGAAAAAGAAGGAGAAAGGAAGGGACACGGAGCAGAAAGGGGACAGGGGACTGGAGCTGGCAGGCTTCCGAGGACAGCCAGCCCACAGGGAGGCCGGCAGCAGGCGGCACAGGGGTGGCAGGCAGGAAGGACCAGTGAATGGGAGTGTGGGGGGGGTGGAACTTCAAAGGGAGCCCCTCCCTCCTCCTCTCCCAGCCGGCAGGACCTGTTTTAGACAAGCTTATGACCCTTTCAAGTGACCTATCCAGCACGTCCCATGTAAATGCCACATGTATTGAACACAGGCAAAGGGAAGTTGTAAATGAGGAAGAAATTACTCTGACTTACTGCTCTTGACTTATAGAATGTGTCAACTCAGTTACAACTATGTATTACATAATTTAAGGATACTTAAAAGTTGAAGTGACCAGAGTTATTTTGTAACACCAGTGGGAAAATAATTTTGTCTCAGTTTGTAAGGATTGCTCTTGAACACACTTGCCCATCAGGAAAACATTTGAGAAAGTCTGCTTTAGGCCATGGCAAAGCTGCTTTCACTGGATGACTCTCCTGCTAATCACAGCCATAAACTCTGTATCGAGTATTGAGAACAACAGTTTGAAGGCATCAGAGATGGATGAAAGCAGATGGAAGCCAGAAGGACATGGTCCTGGAAATAAATGAAGCCATCCTGCCCCCACCCCCAGGGGCATCGCCCGTTCCCTGGGGGCCGAGAACGAGGCGATGCTAAAAGCTGGGGAGGAGCAGGAAGGGAAGGGAAGGGAGGGCGAGCGTGCAGGACGGCGAGCGTGCAGGACGGCTGACGGCCGGCCCGCGGCCCCGCCTGACGAGGCTGGCATGGCCACAGGGCCTGGAGCTGTAAGCACCAGGCAAGGGACATCCTTATTGGTGGACGGAGGCAGCGCGTCTGGATGGGGCTGAGAATCTTCATCTGTGACGTTTCCCAGGGGTGCGGAAGGTGTGGGCCTGTCTTAAGAGCCGCTGGTCCCTCCGACCCCAGGCCGCATTAGTGCCCAGGGTGAGTGGGAAGCGGAGCCGGCCCGAGCTAGCTCCCTGCTCCAGGCGGCAGGCCAAGGAGGGACAGCTTCTTGGTTCCCCAGGGCTGCCATCGCCTTGGTCGTCCCCCTCCTGCCTGTGGACTCTGCCAGTGAGGAGCAAATGCAGGGCCGCTGTCACTCCAGAGCCTATGGCTGCTCAGTCACAATGAGAACACGTAGGTTAAAGGGTCGCGTGGCACGCCGAGAGCGTGGTAACCGCGCACTGTGCCGGCTGGATCTGTTTACCCTGCCGAAACATGAGTCCGTGTTTAAGTGACACTGGATAGCCACCCAGCTCACGGTTACGCGCCAGACAACCCTTTGAGAAGAGATTTCATCTGGCCAGAGACGGCACCTGTGAACCGCCACATGAGTCCCCTGCCCGTGATTTCTCTGAGCGACACTGAATGAAGTTGCCAGGACCCTTGGGGATACTCCAGCCCTCGTCAGGGTGGAGTGGGGTGCCAGCAAGACTCCCGCCACGGTGGCCTGCAGGTGGTGACCTTACGAGTGACTTTGCTTTTCCTAGTTTTTTTTTTTTTTTTTCTGTTTCTATAACAAATGAATGTATTTCATGTTCAGAAAAAGGAAATGCTCTTATAAAATTATCTGTGGGACTGGAGTAGTTTTTGCGTGGTCGCTGTTCCTGGTGCCAGGGACGTCCTGGGACACGGCGGGTGTTCTGCGTCCTGCGCAGCACCAGCGGCTGTGGGCACCTGGCGGGCTGACCACTGAGTGCCCAGTGGGGCGGGTCTGGGCTCCCCGGCTTCTCCGAGGCCTGATGGCCAGGGAGCGAGCAGAGGCAAGGCGACGCCGAGAGGGGGTCCCGCAGGGTTTCAGGAGCGCCCACGGCCCTTCGCGGCTCTCCATGCCTTGTCACCGGGTGAGAACCAGACGGCGGGATGGCCTCCCAGTGGGGCCACGGGCCGCACGAGACCCTTTGCCTTTTGCTGTCTCGAGAAGGAGGATTGAGGACCCATCTCTCGGGAGGGAGGCCTCGGCCCCCGCGCGCCTGAGCTCCCACTGTTTGCTCTGGAAAAGGCACCTGTGCAGATTTCCCTGAGACGCGCGAACTCTGGGGACGTGGGGACGATGACGACTCGCAGTGGCGGGGGACCCCGGCAGTGCTTCTGGCGGGAGGCCCAGGGCCAAGCCACCCTGCTCCGCGTTGTGGGATCCCCCGTCTTCCCTTCCGCTTTCGGGGGGGGCGGGGGAAGCGCGCGGAAAGCGGGGCTCGGACGCCTCCCTGCCGCTGCCCTGGCCGGTGT